AGAACTGAAGGCAACATTTGCATAGAGTTTATGCATAAACAAAAAAAAAAAATGAAGAGAAGAGAGACAGTGGTGGTCTATTATGTTTGCAGCTCAGACCTTCTGATAGGTGTTAAAACAAAGTTTCTAATTTAGCCCCAATTTATTTAAAACAAACAAAAACAAACATACACAAACTTAGCACACGTGGCTAATGTGCAAGATTAGCCTTGTCCAGCTAATGTGAAGTCATGGGAGCTCCATGAAAATGTATTTCTGAAGAATTAACAACCAGAGGCCAAGACCTACAACTGATGTTCTCATAAATACACTCCTAAGTTTGATTGATGTGTCCTCTCTCTTCAGGATGTGTCTTTTCATCTTAGCCATGATAATCAAAAAACAACCAAATGTTAAAAGTAAGTAAACATAAGCAGTAAAGCCAATGAAACTCTCTGTGGAGCAAACAGAGAAAGGAAAACCAATCTGGGAAATAATCACAGGGCCACTGAACCCCTGCAATGTTCACTTCCTGTTGTGTCCCTCTGTGAGGGCTGTAGACACAAAAACCATGGTGCGGTGTCTTTAAAGTGGTTCACAGTTTTTATCATCTGGGGCTAATTCTGTCTGGAGAGGTTCAGGCTGCCTAGGGCTGCTCGGAAAAAAAACAGAAAAACAACAGCTTCCCAACACTCACATTAGCAGTGAAGCGTTTGGCCACAGGGAGAGGTTTACACTGTAAACCCTTGTGATGATGAAGGCTGCTGTGTGAGAATGTTTGTTGTGTCGTCGCTGCCAGACTTCAATGGGAATCCAGTGAGGGTTTCTCCTAACTTCCTGGCCTTCATTCAAACTATCTTCATCAATATTGTGTTGGCATCTCACACATCATGACTGGTTCTCTCTCTGCTTCACACAATTACAAATGCTGAAAGGAAGAGGACAAATCAGGTTGGAAATTTAGATTTTTTTTCCCACTCTGACCCCGTGAGTGACAAAGATGCTAAGCTAAGATAAAAGGCTTCAGAGACTTGTTCTCCAGACCTGAAGAGGCAATTCAACTGGATGACAAATAGTGCATGAAGGAACAGCATGAGGTGGAGCTTCAAAGTTCCCTAATGCTGTGCTGCCGAGGTGGTTTTTTGATGATAAGAAAACAGAAACACAGAACAAAGAAATAAGGCTAGACCTCAAACCGCAAGGATAAACTATGTACAATAGGGACAACGAGCAAGAGGTACAGCAGCGAGATGACCTGGACACACAGCGCCGGTTCACAAAACTGTCTGATTTCACTTCACGTCAAGAAAGGACTCAACAAAACACTTCGTTAGCGCTAATCAATCAGTAGATCAAATATCCGATGTGTGCAACATAACCCAGTGTGTAATCTTACGGAGGCCATTCATAGTGATGAGGGGTAACAATAAATACTGCAAATTCGATATGACATTTAAAATTAAACATGTTAAGGATTATGAGGTAGTTCACTGAAGCAACACGGGGAAAGGCTGACGCAGCAAGGCAAACTATTGTAAATATCTTCAAGAAAACAAAAAGGACCAAAATGACATATGTTTAACATGTGGAGCTCTGATGTTATTGTGGAGCCTCATTACGTACAGCATTGATTTTTCACCTTTGAAATTTGAATTCAACAGCTTTATACTCCATAATCAAACCTGACTGCTTACTACAAGAAATAAAATGTCTTTTGTTCATTTTAACCAACATGTTTGTTGCGAAAGAACTACTAAATCCAAACACAACCAGAGTTGAACATTATATGTTTTTCTAGTCAAACACACACACACACACACAAAAGGGAACATTTAAATTTCACAACGCCATAAATCACATCCACCCACACATCCTCACACACACACACACATGGCTTTTGAAGGCATCACCAGTAAAGATGAAGGTGCAACGGTTGCTGCATACACCAAGAGAGAAACCCTGGCTTTATGAGGTATTGATTCTATTGGATGATCACAGTGGACCTGGAATGATGCACATTTGAGTCGAGCGGCACATAAAATCTGGTAAATGGCCAGGATTCTTCCCTTGGTTCACGTTAGTTTATAAACACAAACCCTGTTTCCCCAGTCAGTTCACAACCTACGAAAATCATTGAAAGCTTAAACCAGTAGCTCGGTAATTCCAGTTTAATTTACAGTTTTGATGCCAGTTTGTTTTTATACTGTAATATTTGTTCCCCTAACCAAAATACAGTCACATGTATTGTATTAATCATTGTTAATCCCTTTTGAAAAATTATAAAAACGGTGATGACAGTGGTCATTTTTGGCCAGCTTTTTTTGGTCTAATGACAGCAGCTGTATGTGTAGAAGACTGAGAACCCATTTATACACTCGGTGCTGATTTTCAACGTGAAGTTTCTGCCAATCCTGCATTTAGGTACAGAGATTTGACATGCAGCTGTAAAAGGTAGCGACCAAATTCAACACAGCAGAGCAGAAACGCTCGGAGCAGAACGCAGCGTGGGCAGATTGTTCCCATTCATCTGACTGTTATAACATCAGCGGTCAGATCTCCCCACTCCTATTTTAATTTTCAACCACTTTCTGATGGTAGGCCCCTCTGCGCAAACCTGTTCTACATTAGAGTGTAAAGGGGTTCTCTGGTTCCCCTGGGGGACGTGCGCTAACTTGTTCTCATGATTTAGGAATAAAAATAAGACCTTGAGCTCCAGCAGAACAGTTTAAAATTACCTCTATAACATACACTGCAATTTTAACAACCACTACGTGCAGGCACCGTATTGGCACTTTGTTTCAGCGAGAGCTAGATCTGCAGGAACCATCACATTTACAGGATAAGCACCGCTGTGTGTAGCATATTAAAAACACCAGGTTGTATCCCAGTATCTCGCACAAAGACTCATGTTGAAAATGCCAAATGCACATTTAAATCGGAATATATTATAAATGACAGAGCAAAAACTACATTTATAACTTATTTTTAGCAGAAACTAGTGGTAACTTAACTAGAATGTTAGACAAAGACAACGTGTGTGAGATGGAGACTTTAGTGATCCTTTCTTAAAAAAAAAAAAAAAAAAAGTAAGTCATATGATATGATTAGATTTGTATCTGTTCTCCTTCCTGCCCTGTCACTAGGCCTGAAGTATTTGAAGCTGTCTTTCCTCCAGGCCTGATGGGAACTGGAGGCCTGTGCAGCATCTGGTTGACTTAGAAACAGCTGTGTTTTCATAGAACTGACTGTGGGTTTATAGCTACTCCCAGCAAGCCTAGGTTCACTGGGCCTGCTTGGCTAAACAATGCTAAATCTCACGTCTCCCCATCTCTACAGAAATCCCACAGAAACACTGCCGGTGACTCACGATTATAGTTATTATCTTTGGAAGTTTAGGTTTATTCTTGTACATTTTATTATTGTTATTATTGTACCCAGCATTCTACATCCAACCAACACTGAGGGGGCCGCCAGTCAAATTTTGAAGCCAAAATCTTGGCTCACCCCTACCTTAACCCCTTACCCTAACCTTCACCATTGCAAATGTATGCCTAATCTTAGTTTTTACCCTAACTCTAATCTGGCCCTAATTCTAATCTCAACTCCAAACTAATCTTAAATCTCAAAATATCCTCTCCCATAAAAAATGTAACTACAAGGACAAACTCCAACAGCGTAGTATTTTACCAGAAAATATACCCACAAGGTAAGCTACACCAAGACCACACGCGCACCCATCAGGGCCACCAGAACAACTCAGACGGTGGACAGGTTGTACAGTGGCCGTGCTCTTAGCACAGGATTAAAGCTAACTGATGCTCAAGCAGATTACTCAGCATTCCCTGGTCACATGATCAAAAAACCCTGCATGCCACAGTGAAGCAGCCCATGGCAGGACCACAAAAAATAAAAACATAAACACACACATGCGTAACACTGTTCTTAAGTCACCACAATGAAAAACGACTGCCTCAGAGTGCCATTAGTTCGGCTACATTAAACACACTTTATTCTAAATTTACCAACAGTCATGAACACAAACATTCACATCACTGGGCCTTTAATAAAAACTTTCCAAGTAAGGGCTGATTTCTGGTATGACTTATTACTTATTATTACTAAGTGCTTTTCCCTTGCTATTATTTTTAATATGTGTCATTGGTTCTACTAACCTTTCTACTAGGACCTAAAATGAAGACCATTATTTTTCATTAACAAAAATAAATGTTAAAACATAACCATCTACCTCTATAAATACAACATAAGTACATGCATTAAGCTTAGGGCTAGGTCATAACTCATGAGGACAAAAATAATTTACAATATGTGAATCTGAGGTGATGTAATGTGTAGTTCTACTTTGGTGTCCCCTCTCTTGCCATCACTGTTCTATTTTTGAGATACCATAACTACTACATGCATGCAGTATATTTTCTCAAGTGTTAGACCATATGTGTTTTTTTAATTACAGTTAGAGTAAAAAAAAATACACCACAGGAATGTCTTAATTTGGGATGATAAAAGCTTATGTCAACGTTTGTGCCTCAATTAGTTTGAGTAAAAAAAATTAAATGTTAAATAAAAGAAACAAAACAGAGATAGAAGAAGTAGGTTTATCCACAGGAAGCCAGCGGGTTGACAAGGTTAGTGAGGCTCCTTGTCTTAGTGTAAGAGCGCCCTCTTCTGGCAACAAATGGGTTTACTTTTCATATTTTAAACGTGGCGTAGGATTCAAGCTGAAAGAACTATTTTAATCATTTTACCCCAAAACTAAAGTTCAGCAAGAGCTGCACAAACATTTCAGCTTTTTAAAATGATATCAACAGCACATTATATGAAGTTTTATGAAGTGCTTTAGTTCCCACGAATATTACGGTTTTACCTGCTGCACCAGAAAAACCTGATGCAATAATATACAATTGCAGTACTATTTTATACTATATTATATTCAATTACATTCTATTCTACTACTTTGTCAAATACAAAACAAATTGACTGTAATCCTCTTTGTTATAACTGACCTGTATTTGCCAGTCCTGACTTGTACACCTTTCATACCACAATGCTGGGCCCCGCCCACATCATTCACCAAATCGTCTCCAATCATCAATGCCTGAAAAATGAGAATAATATTAAGGAATAAGAGGGGAAGGTAAAGAGGAAGTCAAATGCTGTGCTTACAAAAAGTGAAAAATGCCACAACTACAAACTCTGTATTATTCCTTACAAAAAAGTTAAATAAATTAAATATGTTTTTTTTAACAGAAAGCTGCAAAGCTGTGTTTTTAATAATAGATTTATTTTGTATTTTTTGGTTAACTGCCTTCTTCTGTGCAAGACTTAGCAACATCTAGTGGTAAAGTCACACACCTCATGTGGTTGAAGGTTCATGTCACCAAGGACGGTCTGAAAGAACATTGGGGATGGCTTTCCAATGACTTCGGCCTCTAAATCACATGCATACTGGAGGGAAAATCTCAAGAGTTAATGTTAAATATTACCTGTTCTGACATGTACAAGAACAAATGCTGCTATTCATTCCCACAAAATACTCAAATACCTCCAAAGCCTTCATAAAAACACCAACATCCAATTTCAAACCATCTGTCTCTTTGTAGTATCTCCTGTGAAAACAAAGAAACAACCAGGTGTCACTCTTTACTTAGAGTAGGATCAGGGATAGACCAAGGACACACACATATTTGACTAATTACCCTTGGCCCATAGAGAAGAGCACTGGTTTTTCCAGGCCTACCAGGACCCTGAATGCCTCGTTCAGGTTCTGATAGGAGAAGTTCTCGGCTGCATCACCAATCACCACGCAGTTTGGGTTCGTCTTATCGATGCTGTCAAACTCAGGGAGAACTCCTGTGAAGATAGGAGATACAATAAGTAGGTGTTTGAGAAGTAAACGGTTTAAACTTTGAACCATATTTTCAATTAGTTTCAGATTTCAAGAGCAGCATCAAAAAATGATAAAATAAAGTCAATTTAAATTTTAATATATATTTCTAACACATCTAAAAACCATTATTTATATGCCAAATGCACTCTCATGTTAGTGTCAGTATAATAACAAACCAAATATTGAGAAGTTAATACTTGCATTTGACTAAAACACAGTTTTGTTTTAGTGTATGAAAGCATTTTCTCTTTTTTCCCCCACAGTCTGTAGTTGATATGTGACGCTGTGAATAATCTTGTGGTGAAGCCATCAATTCTGTCTAATGAGAAGCCGTACCGTCGTAAACCAGCAGGTGAGGCCGTAAACCCCTCTGCTTAAGGACAGCAACCACTGCAGGAGCAGGAGGGAAGACCTCAGAAACAGAGATGTCGAAGCCCAGCCTCTGCAGCTTGGCCACAAACTTCTCTCTGGTGGCCTGGGTCTCATTGGTGCAGAAGCGCAGCTGCAGGTCGGACGCCTTGAGCCTGTAAATGTGTAAAGATTTATGAGCTTGGATCTTACTTCAAGTCTAAGCCTTTCTACATGTCCATCTACTGGGATGTCATAATGAACCAAACTTTTGCAAGGTCACCACACTGTTTTGTTTCAGGCGTGCATTTTCTACCTATTTATGGGCAAGAACTATCACAACACACACAAATCTCAGTTCCTGTATATTTAAGGGTCATCAAAAATAAATGATATTATGTAATAATTTTGTTATCACAGAAATTAAAATGACAGTGTATGCTTGAAATAAAACACAGATTTCTAACGACACCTTGTGTTGAATGCAGGTACTTCTATAGTGAAACTGAATCTAGATTTAATATCTCGTACCTCACAATAGCGCAAATAAATAGAGAGCTTACATTTAAAATAAAAAAATGTAAACTGTGGACGCAGAGTTTCAATCGTACAGGAGAGAGTGAATGGAGGCTTATGCGTAAATATAAAGGGTTCATGCACTTTGCACCACCAGGGTGTGACATGCATTATGTTTCTTTTTAAACTCACCTCTGCACGGCTTCGATGGAGCCTGGTATAGCCACACCGTCGCCCTCTCCACTGTCGTACAGGACACCACACATGTCCAGTACGACGCCTTTTAAACTCCTGCAACAGCTTGGCCAGTTGGTGTCAGCCATGACAATCAGGAAGACTCAGAACGCATGCGCGGCAGTGACGTCCACGAGCTATCAAACCCACCTGCAAGAGTCCGTGGACTTGGAGAACCGTGAGTACCCACTCTTTCATACGTGTCGATTATTCTCATAATATAAAGTCATATAAAATACGTTGCAAATAATTATGAACAAAATAATTTAAAAAGAAATTAAACTAATTTTAAATTTTAATTGGTCGAAAAAAAAAATTCTAGTCCCATGTTCTCAAAGAACACAACTGCGAGATCTCCCCCTACTGGTACAAAATAAAATAAATCTTTAAACTAATACAAAACAAACGTTAAGAATATTAGTCAACCTTTCTGTGAAATAAAAAATAAACAGTACACTGTGTTGGATTCAGAGAAAAGTTTGTTTTCAAGTCTTGTCATAAAAAAATCAGCTGTTGAAGCTGTTTTTTTTTGTGAAGTTAGTTTGTGAAGTCTGTGACTAGTTGTAGACTTTACCCCAGGCCACTCTTTTTTATCTGGTGAATTTCTGGAGGCTCTTCTTGTTCTTGTCCTTATATGTTGATAAATATTTATACAGCTTATCCTGTTAAACCGAATTAACTTTATAATCGTTGTATCACCAAAAGTTTTCAGTTGCGTTGGTTAAAATTTACTAGACATTTTATGTTTAAAATAAACAGAGAGAAAGAATAATTGTACAAAAACGTTGTCACGGTGTCTGCTTACCATTGGTTAATAAAAAAACATATAAAGGAATCACTGTAAAAAAGGAACTTTAATATAAATTGTTTTTGGTCTTAGTTCTTAGGCTAGGTTTGTTAGAGTTCATAAAATAGTTCCCTTTAATACCAATACTACTGAACTGCAATTATTTGTTTGCTTTTGAATGGTCAAGCAACATCATATTGATTACCACAGTCAGTCTAAAATACAGATGAATACAGACATGTAGGTCACAGAAACATCAAACTGCCATACTCGTGATGCTCACTATTCTGATTTTGACAGCAGTCTCATGCAATCAGAGCTGAGAGTTGCACTATCGGGGCGTGTCAGAGGGGGTGGGAGTCTGAGTCCCTGCCATGTGGTCTGTCCACTGCTAAAGGCGGGGCTCTGATGAATACGCCTACGTAAGGTTTCCACCGTGCGTTTAAATTGAAACCGACCCAGTCAGTTGACACAGAGTGGAACCTGAGGCTCTGGCAGCGGAGAAGGCATCGTCAACGAGGTTCCAGTAAGAATTCAAATGTTCTCTCTCCTCTTTGTGGTACTTTTCATCGCCTCTCAAATATGATGCATCTGTAAAGGTACAGTAAATGTACCTTTAAAGATGCATCATGGATGCGCTAGTGTTAGCGAGCTAGGCGGTGCTGGCCAAAGGAAGCTAAAGCGCTCTCTACTGGTCTCTAAAGACATTTGTTTACTTTTGGGAGAAAATTAAAGGTGGGTTTTATTTTTATGTTTGTATCGAACAATAAAAACCTGAACAGCAATCGGCGTGACTGTACCGATTATGTAATAGAGCATGGTATGGTGATCAACAGGTCTAGCACTTCAGGTCTTTATTTAGCTCCTAGCTGTCCTGTCAGTGGGTGTGAATGGAGGCAGCTCCTCTCCAACCTATCGTGTCTCGAGACCTTGCTGAAAAGTTAACGTCACTCACTTCACGTACAGTTAGTTGGCCGTGTCTGTGTTTATTCAACACACAAGATTATCGATTAATACTGCCTGCCTATTTACTTTGTAAACAATTGTAAACACGAGATATATGTGAAATTTTAAATTGTTTCTTTCATTTTTATAACGAAAGATCACAATTGTTTACAGTTAGTTAATTACAAAAGTACTTGCTCTCATCTTATACTTAAAACAGTAATTATTGCATGGATGTAAAAGCAGCAAACAATGAGTAGCAAAGTGAAGCAATTCTGTCAGATCTGCTGCAACGTTGTTCTGGTCACTTTAGCCACAAAGTGATATGTGCTCCGTGCATTGTGTTGGATGTGAAAGGAGTGGCTGCTCAGCACAGTGTTTAAGCCCATTTGGAATCCCACACATCGCCTGTGTTACCCTTCCATGGTAGTTCAGTGTTTGCTAAGATATAAATTAACCAAGCACACTGTTTTACTTATTTACCAAGGGTATGACCAAAGTTTAATAAAAATGTCTACCAGCTACAAAGAAAAGTTTGTATCCAAGTCTTCTCATAATTTTTTTTACATGGCATTTATTTAGAAAGCCTAGAAGCATTTTACTTTGCAAACAAAACACATGAATATATACTCAAATAATAACCCTTTATCTGAAAAACTAACAGCAGCTGTTGAAGCTGTTTGAAGTTAGTTTTTTAAGTCTGTGACTAGTTTTAGACATTACCCCAGGCCACTCTTTTTTTATCTGGTGAATCTCTGGAGGCTCTTCTGGGTTTTATGAGTTTCTAGCATGCAGTCTGTTTTGTTTCAGAGGATTCCTGGTTGTTGTTGTTGGGTTACCTAGAATAAAATTATCCATCCATTTTCATCCGCTTATCTGTTACCGGGTCGCGGGGGCAGCAGTCTTCACCCAAATTACACTGCACCGTACCAACCCCCCAAACCTTCCTGCGGGTGGTGAGTCCACTGGAAGGTAGCAACCGCTCTAACCAGGATTCAGACTTGCCCAGGAGGTGAACCCTGGGGTTCCACACCAATGACAGAGACATTGCCTCTGGGCCAAAGCGCAACAGAATAAAATTATATGCAGCAATTTTTGTTTTACATTTTCAGAATGAGCATTAATTATTATTTCATAAGGACTTTTGTTCTTGTCCACAGAATAAAATTATATGCAGCAATTTTTGTTTTACATTTTCAGAATGAGCATTAATTGTTATTTCATAAGGACTTTTGTTCTTGTCCTTATAATTTATAAAATTATGATCTTAGTAGAGTTTTGGGTTTTGTGAAATAAAACTTGCTAAGCAACACAATGTTTTTCAACACTGCTGCTAACACCTACAGTGTATTTTGTCCTTGATCTTCAATGCATAGGTGCAGTCAACCATGAAGGGAATGATTATCCAGCTCAGCCGCAACCTGAGTCGTGCTGCTCCACTTTTCATCCGCAGCCTTCACTCGCGTTCGCGTCCAGCCTCCACTAGTACATCCAAACTAGTGGCTAAACATCCGCTCACCTCTGAGGAAATCTATGCCAAAGAGGACAAGTATGGAGCACACAACTACCACCCCTTACCTGTGGCATTAGAGAGGGGGCAGGGTGAGTTTGGTTTGTAGATACAGGCTGAAAAGCTCTGAGTTTCTCTGATTTACTATGACTGTCTTATCCAAAAGAGTGTCTGTCCTTTTTCATGACTTCAGGAATCTATGTGTGGGACGTGGAGGGCAACTGCTACTATGACTTCCTCAGTGCATACAGTGCAGTCAACCAGGGCCACTGCCACCCAAAGATTATAGCTGCGCTCACCGAACAGGCATCTAAACTCACACTGACCTCCAGAGCCTTCTACAACAACGTGCTGGGAGCATATGAGGAGTACATCACCACCTTGTTTGGCTATGACAAAGTCCTACCCATGAACACGGGTAAGAGGAGCCAGCAGACTGCAGCTGTGGCAGGAAATACTGTTGTTTTTTTTACAATGACGCTGACTTTCTGTTTTCATGTTTTAAAAATGTCAGGCGTTGAAGCAGGCGAGACTGGCTGCAAACTCGCTCGAAGGTGGGCTTATAATGTGAAGGGAGTCCCCCAAAACAAGGCTAAAATTGTATTTGCAAGTAAGTGTCAAATTATTGAGATTTCTCCACGATAATTTAATTATCCCCTGGTCTGTTGGGTCACCTCCGGCCCACAACTAGTAGTTGTTATGCTGTGTGATTTTTTCCCCCCCCCCCTTTTCTCTGATTAGATGGAAATTTTTGGGGACGCACCATGGCAGCCATCTCCAGCTCCACAGATCCCAGCTGTTATGAAGGTTTTGGGCCTTATATGCCAGGGTTCGAGTTGGTCCCATATAATGATATTCCTTCACTGGAGGTACAGGTTTCAGATACACACCCAGTACCTACTGTGTCCCACTGTGAGCACACAGTATTCTGAAAAAAAATATTTTGACCCAGTTTTCTAAAGTGTTTTGTCAAAGTCCAAAAGAACCGTTGACCTTTAGACAATAGCCACACAGAACACTGTAGATACACGGAACCTGCTGAGGTTGCCTGTTCTTTAAAAATGGGCTTTTTCATGTTTTGCAATTTAGTGATAGAGCTAAAATTGACCAGACTTTGACAACACTTTCATGTGAAACAGTTCAGAAACCAGTCATTTTAAAGATCCTCCCAAACTTGCTGACTCGATGCCTTCCTTATCCATAGGGTCTAACTGTTAAATTTTAAACTTTCAGACCCAAACAACTTCTTACTGATTTTTTTTTAATCTCCCCAAACATAAAAAGTTATTGATTAAGCAACATATCTTTGTTGACTGGGTCACATTGGACACAGATTACATGTCAAGATTGGTCTATGATTGGTCTTTGTCTTTATCTCTACTCAGAAAGCTCTCCAGGACCCACATGTAGCAGCCTTTATGATGGAGCCCATTCAGGGTGAAGCCGGGGTGCTGGTGCCTGATCAGGGTTACCTGACCAAAGTCAGAGAGCTTTGCACCAAATACAATGTAAGTAATGGTAGTTGTCTTCAAGATGAACCTCAAATTGCCACAGTTTTTACTCTAGATGATGGTGGGCAGATATTTGATCTGTGCCCCTGTTGCCCTAGATACTGGAATTTACTGGTTGTAACTAGAACTAGGGCTGTCAAACGATTAAAATCTTTCGTTGGATTTATCTGATATATACAGCCTATGCTTTATAATGTGTTAAAGTCACTGAAGGACTTTAATCCCCAGGTTTGAGGTTATAACTCCAAGTAGTGACCTTTGTTTCTGTTTTGTCCAGGTATTGTGGATTGCAGATGAAGTACAGACAGGACTAGCCCGGACTGGCCGACGTCTAGCAGTGGACCACGAGGAAGTGCGTCCTGATGTGGTGCTGCTGGGAAAAGCGCTCTCTGGAGGAGTTTTCCCTGTATGTGTTTTCTGTTTGTGTTGCATCATTTATCATGTTTGACTATGGATTTATTTGGTGGACGGCAAACATTCCAACTGTGTCGCGGATTTGTATCGATTGTTGCCACGATGTATGTAACCTTTGTTCTCACTGGTCCGTGTCTCAGGTGTCGGCTGTGCTGTGTGATGACGAGGTCATGCTGACCATCAAGCCTGGAGAACATGGTTCCACGTATGGTGGAAACCCTGTGGCCTGTCAGGTGGCTATCGCAGCTCTTCAGGTCAGTGATAAAGTCCTGCCTTTTAAAATAGCAGACCTAACAACTAACAGTTGTTGTTGTAGTAGGCTTTTGTAAATAAATAAGTGTAAATACATTTACACTGCATTATTATTCCTTGACAGTTCTTATTTTACACAATTGAAATGTAATATAAAAACACAAGGAGATTATTTTATTTTATACAAATTTTGAATAAACCAGTAACGGATTGATGTTGTTGACACCTCTATTCACTCTTTTTCTCAGGTGATGGAGGAAGAAAAACTGTCAGAGAATGCTCTAAAGATGGGCGAAATTCTGAGGACGGAGTTAGGAAAACTGCCTAAAGATATTGTGACGACAGTCAGAGGAAAAGGTCTCCTGAATGCGATTGTTATCAAAGAGACTAAAGGTACAATTTCTGTTATACAGTATTATACCTGATTTCTAAAAAAATAAATAATATTGTAATTAACCACAGAGAATGCAGTAGAGCTAGAACCCACATTGAAATACTGTGAGTTGTACTGATGTTTATATGAGCAGGTCAGATGTTTTTAAAGGCATCTTGAATTTGCCATCTCTTTGCAGATTACGATGCCTGGAAGGTCTGCCTACGACTCCGTGACAACGGACTGCTGGCTAAGCCCACCCACGGCGACATCATCCGCTTTGCCCCGCCTCTCATTATCAAAGAGCACGAGCTGCGGAAGTGCGTGGAAATCATCCAGAGGACTGTCCTGTCCTTCTGAACAACCTATCGCCTCACAAACCTTCCTCTGACTTCCATGCATATCTATTGCTACAACACTTCACTTTAACTGCTTTATTTTAAAGCTGCAGATAGATGGTCAGCATGATCAGTTTACAGAGACTGCTGAGAGGGTGTTTCTATAAAGAGAGTAACTGCTGTTAGGAGAGAAGTGTTCAATTCTGTCTGCTTCAGGAATTTTTTTTACGCTTCTAAAAACAACATGTTTGCACATGAAGCTTGAAGTAAATAGTAAAACCGCCACTTTTAAAGAAGTCCTTTTGCAATTTCCAAAAAGGTATTTGTGGTTTTTACATTTAAAATATCTCAAGTTATGAAAAAAAAGAATTGGAGTTTCTCACAGAGGAAGCAAAAGTAGTTTTAGTGTCAATGTGCTATTTAAAGTCTTAGCTCTTAAATATTGCCTAATTTAACTGATTTTATTTCTGCCATGAATATATTTTATTGTGAAAGTTTTACTTTTAATGTTTCTATCTCTTCAGTGTTGACTCATCTTGATTTATGTAAAATCTGCTAATGATATGATATATGAATAACGTTAATAAATCTTTGCAGTCACACATCTTGCCTTATTGTGTATTTTAACCTGGAGCTAAGATTAGGAGCATTGAAATAATTAAGGCTTTATGCCTATGTCAGTGGTAGTACTTTCTACTGTGTTGCATGTGTAGATGTTTTTGTTTTTTAACTACTGCAGACTACAGTTCTCCTCAAAAAAGAAAAGAAAAAACATACACAAAGTTGTTTGTGTATGTAAGGCAGTGACTCAAATCGGTCAGCAGATGCCACTATTACTGTGTTTAGACCCCAGAAGGTAAACAACTCATAGCTTACAGCTGTAGTGCTGGAGCGCTGATGACTAAATGTTTGCTCTTTCTTTGTAAGGTAAGTTCCACATAAAAAAGGATAAAAAATGTTAATGATGTGATTGTTGGAATGTTAGAAGGCCATCTGGAGAAATGTGGGCAACTTATAAATTTGTTTGGAGGTTATGAAGTTGAAGCACTTAAGTTTCAATATTGTATAATCATAAACGGCCTATTTTGGATATACTGTATAGTGTTTCCCTTGCTGTTGCAGGTGTGCAAGGTGGAATGAACGGTCTAAGTAAACGGATTAAGTAATAAACACAAGGTAAATTTGGAAATAAATCTGCCCACAGCTTTACAAAATAATATTTTAATTTTGCTTTTGGGTTTTGATAAAAGCCCAAGTTACTTCATTAACTAAGGGCCATGTCAACACCCACTGCTAACAACAATGGTGATATAAATGGAATAAATATAATATTATAGGGAACACGAGTCGTCTTAATGAAACGTACACTAAATGACTGAGCAACATTTGGAGATAATTTAGCTTGGTTTTGCAATAACGGTAATAAAATGTACCACTAGATGGGGCTTTGTCTTCACATAAGCCTTGCGACGCATACAGTATAAGCGGCTGTAAAAGCAGGTGTATGTCGCACATTGGCCTTCAAGGGGGTCCTGCCTGAATAAATCCACATCTTAATAACATCATTACGGCTACAGAAACCTTCAATAATACGCAAAACTAGTACAACGAGTCATGTCCTAAATAGCTCATATAGCCATAATAATGAGATTACTCAAGCAACACACTCAAAATGTATATAAAAAAGCATCAATTATAACGTAATAAGATCACAATATTATTAAACAGACAAAATGCATTTTACTAACCCACATTTTGACTATTTGTACATAAAAGCCATCCTCCTCCCTTTCCTTAAGAAGAGTTCATTTGCTTTGTTGTACAGAGTATCCGTGCGTTGTAGTCCTAACAAGTCCGTTTCAAACGCTATTCATGCAAATTGGGAAAGTCCAGTCCGTCCAGTCGTATTTATGCCTGAAGTTTTAATCCCTTTTGGTCTAAGACATCCGACAGAAGCAGTGGCTGAAAAGAAAACTTCATTTTGCAGTTGATGCAGTTTACTTTTTTCAATTCATTAACTTTGCCATTCATTTCAGGCTCCTGGCGACGGCACTGCAAATTCTGGGGGCCTCAGGGCAGATTTCTATCACCTTGGCAGCAAACAAGGCTAAAATATGATTAGATTAAAAACTGGATCATAAATACACACAACTGGAAGCAGTTTAACCATTAGAAAAGCTGTGTAATGATATAAACAGATTATTCAAAATCATTTTATAAATATTCATGATACATATATTAAAAATAATTTAAATATTTTAAAAAGTCACTGATTCTGAAACCGTTTAGTGTAGCAGAGAAGCCTTTGCTACCACAATGTCTGTACAATAAAACCAAAACCAAAGACTAGTTGTCTCATCTTTCAGTTTGACAATTGTGAGATAAACAGTCACATAAAACCATTTAGACATATTAAACACTGTGTTTATACTGGTGCCAGCCCTGACAGACTGTATACAAATGTGAGGTCTGAAAAATCGATGCCAACAGCATTTCCTTTTTTCTCCCACTGTTTCTTTCAAATGGGAGAAGTTGTCTAGAAAAAGCTGTAGTAACATACTGCACACTGTTAAGGATCAATAAAACCCAGTCTAATTACTTTAGTGCTTTGCACTTCTAAAGGCATCCTCCAGGGCCAGATTCCTCTTTAAAGACGGTAGATTGAGTGGATTCTGTTGCTGTGATGAAGTTTGGTATTTTATAGAAAAACTTATTTAAAAGAAATGGTGCAATTTACAGCAAATATTTCGGACACTTAAACTTTCTGATTCTACTTGGTGTTAACCAAACTTTTTGCCTTGATGCTACACCCTGGTTTTTGTTGGTTTGTTTAGGTTTCAGCTGCCCTGTTGTCAAGACCAGGACCTATAGATCAGGGCAGAGGTGCACACAGGCCGACACTGTGGAACTGGTCATTATTTAATACGAAGCAAAGCCGAGACCGGAGCAAGGGTCCAGTGTTTGCCTGTGAAATATGAGCAGAATCCCACTTGGCAGAAGACATGAGGAGTCTCACTGGGCTACACCAAGAAATGTGTTTGTGTCCTGCACTGGCTTTGATCCTACTCTTGGTGGAGAGTTCGCTCACACTCAGCACTGACAGGGAGGAATAATGTATTCCACAAATGAGCTACAGTTTTGGCAGAGGAGTGACAGGCCACAGGCTCTGGGAACACCGAGGTCCAGGCTTCAGTGGGGTTTTGACAGACTTAGCCAAAACCTGAAGATGCCACTGGAAAAGCTCCTTGACTTTCCATGAAAACACACGCAGTGCCAACAGCCAGACTGGTCTATTCTAGTATGTGGTACAGTACTGGCTTCAAAAGCCTGTGTGTGTGTGTGTATGTGTGTTGAATTGTCAGACCCAGAAGGTCAGAAGAAACTAGATTATTTTTCTTGACCACTTTCTTGAAGGCTTTGATCTTCACCTTTTTCCACAACAGGAATTCTTACCACTGTTCCATACAATCCCAAAACTTAGTATCACTGGTAGCACAGACTAAATGTCAGAACAAGGGCCATTATTATACGTTTTACTTATCGTATTACTATTTTCTTCAATGTTTGTATATTTTTTATCAACACATTCCTTAAACGGGAGGCCACCTGGTCACAGGTTTTGGGAATCAACAGTAAGATCTCTGTGCCGGCCGGCTCGTAGAACTGCTGCTGATGCTGAAAGTCATTTTCAAGTGCATCCCTGAATTAAATACTTTCTAATTGAGGATCTCCAGTATAATTTTATTTATCAGGATAACTCAACGCCAATATATTTATCTGTCACATCACACAATGCTCTCACTTTATTGTGCCTATAAACGGTTGCCCTCAGAATCCATTTCTCCTTTCATGGTCTTTTTTGTTTTTGTCCTAAGTCTCTCCTCTCTCTCTCTCTCTCCTCTCTGCACATAACAGGAAATTGTACTTTTGTACTTTGCAAAGATGTAAAGCCCAAATTGACTAAGGTAAAGCTGCAGTAAGGAAAGGGATAAATGTTTAAAGTTCCGTGTCCATTAAACACGCAAAGGATACGGCGCCAGCTTGAGAATTACGGCTGATACAGTGCAGGATAGCAGAGGCTGTTCATTCACAGATAACCCCCCAGCTCCCTGTAACTGCACAGATAAATCAGTGAAAACACTGGACTTGCCTGTCAACGCTCATATTATCCAGCCTTTTGCGTTAAGTTTATGACACTTGAGAGCACTTTTAAAAAACATGTGCACCGTAAGGGGCAGATGACACATAATCCTTAGAGTTATGTGCACTGACCATCACTGTCTCCCTCCTCCTGCCTCACTCACTTTACACCAATGGGAATATTATGTATTGATCAAATGCATGAAATCATAAAAAAATGCATAAAAAAAGGGCCAATTTTCACAAAATGATGACCTGGCATTGTTTTGATACGTTAATGTTAAATGCGTCTTAGATTTAGTATTTAAATAACGATGTTGTAAAATCTATGTTCCACAAGGGGAGCTATTTGACAGTAAAATATGATGAACCATTTGATCATTCCCTTAGTAATTGTTTTGTTTATTTTTTGTTTTTTTTGTGTGTGTCCTAGGAAAAAAAGGGGTACTTACACGTATCTTTTGGGAGTGAAAAAAGAGACTTCTGTACCAGTAGGTGGCAGTAATGTAAATTAAAATCCAGAAGAAGAAGAATGTGCAAAGTGAGTTAAAAAGGTAAGAGTTAGCAGGAGTTGTCTGGACAAGCCGTAAAACTGAAAGATTCTTTGGTGTATTATGTTTCTAAATAATTGCTATTAATGTTTTGTAGAATACTTTATACACATTATTTGAGATAAAAGGTGTAAAATGCTGGTTTAGAGTTAAAAAATAGCATAGCTGTGTGCTATATATAGCATAATGAAGTCTTGTTTGTATTCAATGCTAATTATGCTTTCAGAGCCTTCCATCCATCTTCTGCATTCCTTCGGCAGACGCCTACCGCAATGAATGAAACATGGCAGTACCGAGGGAATCGTGATGGCAGTGTTGCTCAGTGAATACTCATGTTACTCATGTGTGCCCATAATGGGGAAAATAAGAAGAAAACAATACGCAAAAATGGCAGAACAGGTAATAAGAATTGTCCAGCATCGTGCTGTGCTGCCATGTTTGTTATCCTCTGATTAACCGACGTCGCCCCAGAAGTGAACTCTGAACTCAGTGCTGCCCCCTAGTGAATGTGTTTCTCATCCTTCGTACCAAACATAAAGCCCTTAGGAGTACGTGGGCAGTGATGTTTGGAATGCATGTACATATTTACATACGTGATGCATGATTGTTTTTATGGCTGTCCTGATGTGTATTCTGTGTCTTCAAAGCTCATTGTTGATGTGGAAAATATTTTCCACTGAGCAGACTGAAGCCATGAGTGAGGATACGTGCAGTAGACGGTGTGAATCACAGTGAATGATTTCTAAGGTACACTTGGTTCATCTCCAGCTGCTCTGATACAGACTATAACTCCAAATTCACCTGTTATTCACGTCTCTGGATGTGCCTTTTTTTTTGCTCTTAGCCCCCAAAAAAGAACATGAACACCAAGTTGTTTAATTGCATTATCTGCAGCTGTGAGCACAGCCCAA